ATATCTTTATTTATTCATTTTTTTCAAAAAAAATGAGAAGGGATAAGAGGTTAGACAAACCTTGTTTAAATACACTCTTCCCAGCTACCTCAAAGCAGTGGGTTTTTTTTTTTTTTTTACTATTATTTAATTACTTTGTTCAAGCAAGGAATCCCACCATCGATCGCAGCAGTAGTCCATATAGAACCGTGACACCTCTCAAAAAGTCGTCGTCAACGACGACGACGGGCTTAACGTTGATGGATCCACAGGCTACTTCCCAATCAACAGAAGAAGAGACGAGATCTTCTTACGAGTCGAGGCCCAAAACTATACCGTGGACCAACGAAAAACATGTCCAGTTCTTGAACTCAATGGAGGCTTGGTTCGTCCGTACAATGTTGGAAGACTCCCGACGCGTCCTCCATTCCGACCGCAACACGCCAGCTAGTTCAGACTCAACTGTAGAATCAAAACTAATGCTGGAGAGAAGGAGAAAGCACGCCACCACAGGTAGCCGCTGCTGTATCTCTTATTTCATATTGGAGATTAATATTGGAGAGAGTCAATCTCCACTTCAATCTTTTTAAAGCCCTTTGCGAGAGCAATTTCCATTTCAATTTTAACGTGCCGCTGATGTCCTTTTGATTCGATTTCAAACCCAGGAAGGATTTTTTGGAAATAAACTATGAACATGTCTACTCGTACATCTTATATAAAGGGGCTCACTTTTTAATTTTTATTCATTTTGAAGTTTATAAAATCTGAACTGTAGGATATGAATGTTAAAAAGATATTTATAATTAGGTAATTTTTCTTTTATTGTTTTTCTAACTTTTTCTTGTGGACAATTTACAATGTTTCCAGGGAATTGCATGGGCACGAGAAGCACAGTGATCAACGATCCACCTGAAAGGGTATTAAGTACACCTTCGTCTCAGCCGTACAATTCATCACAAGATCTGGTGGGTTTCTAACTTTTGGTCATGATCAGCTGTGTAAAAACTGATTACGGTGGACCTATAAGCCTGCTCGGTTTCCAACCCAAATTAAAGAACTCTTTTTCCTTACTATTAAATGTGTTTCCTTTGACAGGTGGTTCCTAATCAGATCGAAAACAGAAGAATTGTTTATGATGAGAGAGGGCTTGCAGTGGCATCCACCACACCTGTAGATGCATTTGATCTCTATTGCAACTGAAAATTTTAAAGATTCTTCCTGTAGGACTTCTTTGCATTTGATATCTCAAGTTAAGCTGTACCATTGGTAATTTTACTTTCAAGTGAAATAAGAGATATTAGATTTAAGGAAAAGTATGTGGATAGGACGAATGAAGGAATAAAAAAAATGTTATTATTTATTGTATAATTTAAAATCAAAATAAATATATTTTCCAATCAAAGGTTTTAGTTTCCTAATGGGCTAATATATATTTTTCTTTTCTCCTAGCATCAAAGTTTGGTGCATCCTTATATCTTTTCAAAAAGTCTTTGCATTGCCTTTTAGATTTGCTTCTAAATAGGCATTTTTTTCCTTTTTTGCAAATTCCCAGTTCCAGACAATGTTTCCTTTTCCCACTTGCTGACAAGTTTATGCTCAATCTTCTATCAGTTTCTATGTGTCAGTGGTACCACCTAAATTTAAAGCATGCCACCTTAGGTAGCCTTCTGTATCTCTTATTTCAACCATTAGAACAATTGTTGCATTTTAGTTGCTCGCACATCATATTCAAAGTTTTCAAGGCAGCATTGATGGCAATTCCTGGTTCAAAAACTATGCACTTTAGCACCCCGCCGCACGCGAGACTGTTTGGATCACAAATTTTTTTTTTTTTTTTTTTTGTGCAAATGGAAGATTTCATTCAGTTAACAAAATAAAGCTATAGACATAAAACAATCATTATAATCATAGGTAAAACTAAAAGTACAAAAAGACAAAAAAAATTTAAAAAAGTATCGTGTTTAACAAGTGTACCATCCACTTCATTTACTTCTCTATAAATGTTTTTGATGTTAATGTCCTCAAACTAAAGGATTAGAGATTTGCAACATGCAACTAAAACTAAAGTCTTAAGAGAGTTGTTAGCGACATAAGATTCATTCAAAGTATGAATAGCCAAAAGCTAAAATAACAAGAAACTAAAGGAAGCTAGTAAAACTATTACAATCCAAACAAGAAGATGGGGGCTCTCCTAACCTTCCAGAGTTGTACATCCTCGAGTTGCACTTTTCCTCTCCACGCCAGCTAGCTTTCAGCTTGCACACCTCAAATCCAAGCACAAAACATAAGAGCAAAAGATAAGTGTAGCCTAGGAGACCAATAAGGGATTGCTGCATTGATATGCTAATCCACATCACTAAGGTCTCCTTGAGACTTGAAACTATTACTACAGCCTTAGGAAGCAAAGACCAAGTTACTCCCTGCAACTACAATGTATAAGCCCCATAGAAGCAATCACTAATAAACCATCCATGAGAAAGACCCTCCAACCCATGACTTAGGTGAGACCACAACCCAAAGCATCATACTAGGAATGACCACATTGACTAGTCTAACAAGTAACGACTTCCCAAGGGATGCCAGCTCCGCAGAGACCAAAGCTAAGCAAAATTTTTCATTTTTATGAAGGTATGTAAAATAGACCAAACTAAGATAGAGTTCAAAAATATACCTCTATATATTAAGATCAATAAGAATCAAGGAGGACCCCAAGCACTTCATGCATGAATCATGGTGCCCCTGTGGCTACTACTTATGGGACAGCCACCAACCCCTACAACATAGTATTCTTTGTTGCCATAGACAAGGATATCTCCACTGATTTTTGGGACATCCATGAATCCAAACTACATATTAATTGAAGGACATAAAACTCTATTTAAAATACTTTCAAATAATTTTTGAAAAGTTGATATACGTAACCTAAATGTTACTATAAAGTAGTAATATTTTCGTCTTACCAAAATTTTAAATTTTAAGTGAAAATGGTGCTGTCTACAAGTTCAGCCCAAACACATCATTTCTTTACTTTTACCGAAGAAGAAGAAGAAAACAGCCATAATCACCGGCGCTCTAGATAGTGTCGACACCTCCACTCTGGCGCTCTGGACAACCTTAAACCCCATTCTTCTGATCTCTTCCCTCCTATCCCTCTTTCTTCCAACTAAAACAATGCTCCAATTGCTTCAGACACACAACAACCTTCTACTCCAAATCTCACTTTCCCTATTCCTCACCCTTCTCCTCACATTCCTAAAAATCCCCCTCTTCTTCCTCCACGACCTCCACCCCGAAAACCGTCAACATATCGGAGCCGCCATCGGCCGGCCCCCGATGGCCTTGATGGGTGCCAGTCTTTATCATCCCGAACCAATACTGAGCTCAAAAGTGGAAATAAATCTAAGGAGAAGTTCGAGTTCGTTGACAACAATGCCCTGATCTTCAGGTTCATCTTCAAACCCAGCTCTATTTCAATGAGGATCACAATTCTTTCGTTTTACCCTTTGTGCGTATTTCTTGTTTATTGCTATATAAGTATTTGGGGAAGTCTGAGGATGATTCTGGGGTTTTGGCAAATTGGAATTCGATCCCAGTTGTTTTTCCACTCCTCGGTTTGTGCAAAGTGTTTTTGTCAGTTGCGGAGGTATCGTATGAGAAATCGGCTTCTAAGGGGTCGGAGAAGCAATTGAGTTTGCTTCTTGGGTTTTTGTGGTTTTTCTTTGGGATCATGGTTTGCTCTGGAGTGATTCCTTCGGTTTTGACTTTGATTTCAGCTCAGTTGATGTGGCTAGGAGGGTTTTGGTTGCTGCTTTTCTGGGATTGCTTGTGGGTTTTTTGTATATGCCTGCAGGGAAGAATGGACGAGCCTTTTGGCTTGGAACAGATCAACTTAGGAGTAATTTGTCCATAGTTTCTTGTGGATGGTTTGAAAGAGGGATTTTATATGCAAGTTTTATGTCTTTCATAACAATCACCTAAAGAAGTTCTGCAGATGTGCATTACTGTATTCTTTTCTCCTGTTATTTGCCTAAATACTAACTGCATGCTAGGGGAGGAATTTGCTAATGTTGTTATCTATAGAATTACGTTCATTGTTATGAACAAATCAATTTTAATTTGTCATGTTTGCCATATAATTTCGCCCACCATGTAGAATAGTATTACCATAAGCTAGAGTGATCATTTTGAATTCGTAAAGCTTGTACTATTCTTTTTTGTCTTCCATTCTTACTATAGCTGCCCTATGAAACAGTGGAACTCATTTAAGTTTTTGGATGGATGCTTTTGGGTCTTAGAAACACTAGAACTATTGACTGAGTACAAGTCTAGTTTTTGTTTCTTATCATTTGCATAATAAAATCTATTTTCCGACATAAGGCTGTCATATGAAATGGAAACTGTCTTCTATAATGATATTTAAGTGTTTGGAGGTGCAGACTCAGTTTATGGTAATATTGAATATACACAACATTGGATTAAAATTTTCGAGACAACTACAGCTTGGAGCATCTTATATGTATAAAGATTAACTATCAAAGTTGTATTGTCTTATAATTGCAAGAATAAGTTGAAATATGATAGTGTCCATTCAAGTTGGAGAGGCTAAAGAAATGCTTCTTCAAATGATGGTGTTGGTGTTGTTAGTTTATCAACTAAATGGTGAACTTATTACATACTTTTGAATAGACCCCTTTGTTTGCCAGTTTGTGGTAGGAAATATGATATGTTGCCTATATAATTGCTTCGAGGAGCTCCTCAGATGTCATATAGATCAATATCTTGTGTTATCTGTAAGGAAAATACAGCTGATATTAGCAAATGTGATGCAATACATGAGGTATGTATGTTTGTAGGCTGTTTAAAAGCATGTTCACCTCCTTTCTTTTATCCAGTCATATACATCTTTTCTGGCTTAACCATTGCCATTTCCTAGGAATTTATATTGTCTTCTTGCTTGGAAAACCACCAGTGGATGCCTGAAATAACTCATTTGTCATTTGACCTTGTAAAAACATTTTCTAGTCTTGTATTGAGTACCAGAAGCAGAGATTCTTTCACTTGTGCTTCTATTCAGACTTTCCAATGTAACATTTTAAACTTGAACAATCATATTAGTTCAGTTTTATTAAAAAAAAACATAACTTTAGAAGCCTCACATTCAAATGGTTGAAATCAGCATTTTTTACATGACAAGTTTTTTTACTTGTGGCCATCATTTATATGACTTGCTGAACAGTTCCTTTTCTCTAATTGTGTAGAAATTGAATCACTTCTGTGGAGATGAGTTGCACAGGGCCTAGGACAAACACTTGTAAGCATGAACATTTATTACTGAATATGAGTTTGGATTATCATTAATGTTCTGAGGTCTTAGGAAATGTTAGCCATAAAGCTGCCATATGAAAGGGGAGTCTTCCATAGAGATATTTCGAGTGTCTAGATGAGCAATCTTAGTTTATAAAAATGCTGAATGTACACAACATGGTTACTTAATTTTCTTAGACTTCTAGTGGACCTTGTAGATGTTAATTTAAGTACAAGCTGTCGAAGTCATATTCTCATACAATAAGTTCAAATTTTTATGTTTCTTTTGTTGAAGTGACAAGTTGGGGTTGCTGCTGTCATTAAAATTTGCATGCAATACTCACAACTCCAGCATTTGTGAGCTTTAGACAAATGCAATCTGGAAAATTGATACTGTTTAAGTTAGTGTTGTTATTTCAGGTGCGTGGTCAGAAGATCTAGCCATCATGTTCCAGTTCCTAGACCCTACCCCCAACAATGCTCCAGGTAGCCTCGGCTCTCAGGCATTTATCCATTTTGAACTAATGGAGATGCACAGGGCACCAGTACAGGATCTATCTCCCCCGTGGATGTCTAAGAGACCTCCCAGAGCCTTCCCAACACACACCTCACATTGCCAAGGCGCCAGTCCTACAGGAGGAAGCATCCGTCTCAGTTGGGCTTTATGCCTCCTTCCTCCTCCCTTCTACCTCCATTCTCTTTTATGCCTTTTTCTTTTAATGTTATCTGGGGAGATCCAATTACTGTTCATTTCTTTTCTCTCTCTTGTTTATTGGATAGAGTTCCTTGTTTTATCATTCAAATTATATTAAATTACAAAATAAAAATTATCAGATAGTCTTTAATTTCAAAGGACTTGCTCTCACTCAATGATTTAGATATTTCACAACAGGATAAATATTGATTTTCAGCGTTATATTACACGCATGAGAGAAAATGACTTCTGATAATATGATAAAAAGGGTCCCTATCCCTGAATTGGATAATTGCAATAATAATTTTTGTTGCAATAGGATAATCCTAACAAAACGTTTGGCACTAAATATTCAAGGTCGTTAAAATTCCAACCAGAATGGAGGTAGATCTTCATCCAACACCAAATGGGACCAAATAGGAAAGGGAAAGTTTGGAATTTCTGATCTTGCCTCTTTGGATTTAGGCAAACACAAAAGACTTGCAAAAATGACAGAATTTTGGCCAGCAAAATTCAACCAAAATTAAATGATCGCTATCCACCTCAACCAATCCAACTGCTTGGTAAATGGTCTTTATCAAGGGTTAAAACAACAAGAATTTAATCCTAGTTTTCCTCTTAGAAAACCATTACCTTGGTAGTTAAGATGGAGGTTCGTACCTTTTGAGATTTAACATTTATTATATATTTAGGTGGAGAGAATTAGAGAGAAAGAGAGAAGAAGAGAAAAAAAAAATTTTAACTCATTAAATTATAATAATTTTTAAATATTATAATTTAAATAATAAAAAAATCCTTCCCTCTCTTTTCCTCCTTTTCATTTTTTTCAACTTAAACATATTATTGTTGTTACGTGGCTGTTGAGGCAAATGCACATAGGTCTAGGGTTGTGCGTAGGCCCTATCCAGACCAGAAAATTTTAATAAAATAGCCTTTACAGAAGGTATAGGCCTTACCCATAATGTCTTGATTTAAGAGGTTTTTCCATAAACTTAAAAAAAAGGTTCAAATGTCAACGATAGGAGCAAAATTTCTTGAGCAAAAATAATATGTAAAAACAGGTTCAATTAGTTTAAAATTTAAGATTTTATTTGGAAAATTTTATATTCAAATCTTAATTAAATAGGGTTAGGTTTGAGAAAATATGAAAGTTATGAACAAAAAAATATTTAATCCTTTTCTGTTAAGAAACAAACTTTCTTAACAAATAAGCTAATATTAATGAGAGAATTTGAGAAAAAATTATATCAAGCTCAATATAAGTATTTTCCTCCCTTAATTTATCCGAATTTAATCAATTTGAAGCAAAATTATCAAATGCGACGAACCATTAATAGAAACAGCGCACTAGCCTAAAGACCCTACCCACCTAAACAGGCTGCTTCCACCCGTGTGGATGCTTGCTGAGTTAACTTTTTTTTATTATGTTAAGTATAATGGGAAATAATTATCTTTCATCATTTATCTCACCTCTCGTATATTTTTCGATTTGAACTTAAAACTTCTTATTTCTAACGGAAAGAAATGATCGATCAATTATTTAGTTCGTTGACAAAATAACAGGAAAAAAAAAAAGGCAAAACCATAAGTTAAGCCCCTGAACGAACCCCAGAATCACTATTAAGCCCCCGGACTTTAATTGATGCAGTTAAGCCCTTGAACTCTGGAATCAAAGCAATTAAGCCCTTCTTCTTATGCTAGTAAGCCACTAAACCTTAATTTTTAAAATAAATTGCTTAAGAAGAAGGGCTTAATTGCTTCGATCCCAGAGTTCAAGGGCTTAACTGCATCAATTAAAGTCTAGGGGCTTACTAGTGATTCTGGGGTTAGTTCAGGGGCTTAACTTATGGTTTTGCCAAAAAAAAAAGTGCAATAAAAGGACTTTCTAAGAGGTCACCCATACTAGTACTACTTTTGTCCAAATACACTTAAGTACGGAGCTCTGATGGGATCCAATGTAGTAGTGAATTCCTTGCTGAGTTAATTTTACGTTGGTTTTGTTTGTTTATTATTTCATTTAGGAATGGGTTGGTATTATAGGTGTAATGTAATGTGGTGATTGGTAAATCAATATCAATTATAAAAATTAATTATAATTAAAATTTTAATTTGAAATTAAAGTCATATATTATATCTTTTTATTAATTTAATGCACCAAAATAAGTTTTAATTAGCATCTGGCACTTTGGACCAAATGACCTTCAGACTATCTTAGAGGTGCACTCCCCCCTTCTTATGGTGGGTTCCAAAACACCCTTGTTCACTTGTTAAAAAATAAAAATAAAAATAAGTTTTAATTGAGGTTCAATTTTTTAGTTCCGATGCAGAAGCTCTATCGTTACCAACGAAATTGATTAAAGATACCCCACTTAACATATATATAATATAACAAAAAACAAAGGAAAATTATAGGTATATTTTTTTGATTTAACATATTTATCAATATTTATTGATTTAGTCATTAAGACCTATAATTTTAATTTTTTTAATTTAAATTTAAAAATAATAATTTTTTAATAATATATTAAATAAGATTGTACCTATATTAATGTCCAAAAACATATAATCACCATCTGCCAAAT